TAGATCTCCCAAAAAAAAAAAAAAAAAGGTGCATGTAAAATTAGTTCATATACCAATACAACAACAGTGCAAAACAAAGGTGAAGTACTAATTTAATGCTCAAACATTCGTCACTGTATGCAACAACAAATATAACCAACTGCCCAAGCCGTTTCCCCTCATTCACGGAACAGACAAAGTCAGGAAAGGAAAAGAGCGAAAAACTCATGCGAACCTCATTTATGATTCCATCGCCTCCTACGCATATAATACCTGCAAAAAGAGCAAAGAATAAACCGTCAACAGGATGGGAAGAAATAGTCAAGTAAAAGCTATAGTACAAAGGTCAAAAGTACCATCAGGACATGTACTGAAATCAACGCTGGCTGCAAGTTTTCGAGCATGACCAGCAGATTGTGTTTTAACAACTTCTAACTCGAATCCAGCAAGCTGTAATATACAACATGAAGAAAGCATTAACGAAGAGATCAATCACAATAATGATCCTATCGCAGCTTGGAACTTAGCAAAGAGAGAAAAAAAAATGAAGTACAAAACCAAATAAAGATCCAATGGTCTCTACAGCAACCAGCAAAACTAGAATTCAGTAGCCATGCAAACATGACATCGTATCTAACTCTCAGCCCCATCTCTATAGGAGTTTAGGTGTTTGCTTCAACTGATGTAAAGGTGGTCCTAAATTCCCAGAAGCAACAGAGTTCACAAAAAACTAAAGGCATGTTCCCGATCAGCAATGTAGACCTAAAGTCCCATATATTTGGGACAAGTACTCTATTTTTATCATTTAAAATTTATCACCCTATAAATCATCAAACTTGTGGCCAGCCTACTATGTCGCCTGTTGTTAAGCCAGAGCCCAGAAACTTCTTAAAATAACTTGTGGCCCACAAATAAATGATGTACCATTTCACAAGCAAATTTCTTAAAAAAACAAAGGTAAGATAAAATAAAAAAAGTAAATAATTTCTCCAATTCTATTGCATCATAAATCCATAATATGCTTTTCATTTACAACAGTCCCACTATCTGATCCATCGATTTTACCAGTAGTTTTTAGCAGACAATTGATCCCTTGCCCAATGATGCTCAAGAAAGTAAATTCAGGCATGCTACAATTTTATGTTGCCCAGTTTTCAGAAGAACAAAGTAAATCTTTTGGATTACAAGATATAACTCAATGATTCTGAAGAACAAAATAACCAGATACATTAACTTAAAGAATATCTAACTTCACCTAATACAAGTCAATATTAACAAAAATACATTTCAAGACATAATGGGCTGTTCCAGTCATATGAAAATTGCTAAACATACTCCAAAAGTGAACTACATATTAGATGCAACAAAAAGTCAAATTCAAAATATTCACTTGAGTAGAAACCTTACAACAATGGAAAATGCTAGTGTCACTTTTTCCAATCAGAACGTGCTACATCCTTGCTCAAGTTTACCAATAAAAATGCTTTTTTTTTTGTTCTCCATACATTAAGTGGAACCATTACCATTGCATTTAGAGACATATCAATGAGGGTCTGAATTTAATATCAATGAACAACAACCAGATAAGGGTCACAATCGTGCTTTAGCTATAAAAACGAGCTGCATTCTTTTTTTCTTTTTTTTTTTGTGTATACTAGAAGCAGAAAGCATTACTAAACCAGGACTACTTGACATAATGTCTTCGACGAAGTTTTTGTTGATTGTCATCCTCATAAATAAATTGCTCACAGTAATTTATCACAAGCATTTTGGCCCAAATATGTTGCTGCTACACACTTAAAACCCATATGTATACAAAAAAATGGGATGAAGAATAACGGGGATGAAAAAAATCTTGCACCCCTTTTTTCTTCATTCTAGTCCTTATCATAAATTATTGGAAAGGAGAACCTTCACAAGCGAAGGCACACTTTACGTCTTTACCCACTACACGTGGAATAGATAATCGAAGCTTAGCTCCCTAAGATAATGTAAACAAGGATTGCTATTAAAAAGACCAGTAGATAAAATTGCACTGGCAGACTCTTATCGCATATGTGCAGCTGAAGGAAGGAAGAAAATGCAAATAGGAGAAGAATGATGAAAAAAAAATAAAAATAGAAAACCAATAAAAGAAAAGGTATAAAAATGCAAAGTGGTTATGAGGATTGTAGGGAGGTTCAGTTAACAAATTCCAGGAGCTATTTTTGTTGGGTTAGTGTGCATCCGTTTGGTTGAAGCCTTAGAAATATCATTGTTCAATCTGTCTGACCTTTACTTCCTTACACCAGTTGTGTCTGTAACCACTATGTATATAGCCAGAAAATGGAAAAGTTACAAATTCAAACAAGATAGAGTCCACAAACAACCTACCTTGAATATAGGCTCAACCAAACCATGAAAAACTTTGCTTGATCGACCACGTCCAGATTGAGGGTTTAAAATGACGAGCATTTTTGGTTGACTTTTACTTCTTATATATGACTCAGGAGGAAACTCGTTGAATATCAGATCGGAACTCTGCTTCTTAGAAGCCATTGGGTGAGGCAAGCAATTCACATAACACTGTTGATCTGCAAAAGCATTGACCCACTGAATGGCATCGTCTGAGGTGGAGGCGAAAAAACGAAAGTCCTTCCGACTTCTCCCACTTTTAGTGAAAAGGCGACACGAACCCTTCCGATCCGGATATGCATGGACAGTAAAATGTCTAAGACTAACACAGCAAGACAGCTGCAAACATACAATTATAGAAGAGTTCATCAAGAAATGAAAACCGCATTCATATTTTCAGGCAAAGTTTGCTGCGAATCTAGAGGAATTTACCGAAATCACATCATCTAGCCGCAGTATATGAGAGCCCCAAATCAGTGCCTTGCTTGTAAGTTTAGCATCAACCTCATCCGAATTTGAACTCTCCGAAGTTTGTACCTCGAGATCTTTACATGCTTTCCTTTTGTCCAAAGAAAGTTTTCCTGAGAATACTTCATATCCTAGTAAGTCAGACTTTTCGTCTCCAACATCAATCCTAAGTTCATCTCCCTTAACCTCATTAGGATTATCATTGTTAGTACTTGCAGCTTTCCCTCTGCTATTACGTTTTTCGGGGAACACAACAGGTGACGTTTGTTGTCCAGTTGACGCTTGAGAACAAAGACCAAGTCGACGAAGCGACTGCTGAGTTGTCAGTCTCAGAGAATTATGCTTAGATAGACTGACACTCTTCTGCATATTGATATCTAAACGTGAAGAGCGAAGAAGCCTAACAATACGAAAGTCAGCAGGATTTAAGAAGATAATCCAGGATCCAAATAAATATTCTTCATGGTACCTAATCCTGCACAGTTTGGAACAAAAATCCATCAGCATTTTCAAAAAGCAAATGAATCACACAAAAACAAGCGAATTGAAAATTGATCACACAAAAACTTGAATAGCACACTTGTACTTGGGAATTGAAAAAACTAACCACATACAGGAAAGGCAGATGAAAACATCATTAAGAATTTTAGTTTTGCAAAATAATGGGGGAACATACAAAAAAAATAAAAAATAAAAAATCAAATGATAAAACCAGCCTTTTCAAGATCATCCAAATTAATTTCCCTCAAAAGAAACTACTTGCCAAATTCTGCACTTGTTTATAAAAACCAACATATTAGTTGCAGATTACATGTTCATAGAAAAGCGTATATGTAAGATCTTTCGCACTTTTCTGTGTATTCAGATTCATCATCTAGTCTAAACTAATTTTGATCAACAGATTGGAAAATTATATAAATTCTGAATTCTTGACATCTTAGCAACAAATTGGCAAACTAAACAGAAAGGAGATAAACCAGTCCCATTACTATTTCAGTATAGAAACAAGAGCCAAGAAAAAAAGGAGATAAACTAGTCCCATTGTCGTAACAGTATAGAGCAAAGAAGAAATGTGTCCAGCATATGAGCTGATACAGTCGAAAGACACTGTTTCCAGCTGAATCGCATATTACTCGAAGACTTAACAATCGGTGGGCAAAGGGTCCAATTTTTATCCACCAAATATCAAAACCTCCATTAGATCACCCAGAAAAAACCACTCCAAACAAGCATCTAAAGATACCCAACAACACAGATATACATTTCTCTTCTAAACAAGATTATCAGTATAGAGAAGCCCATAATCAAACAATCCGATTGAATTTGCCCCAATTCACAACCAATATTATTCCGATCAATATCTGTACAACAAAACCAATATACAAATAACGCGAAATCACCAAATATAATGGAAATTGAAAATTGTATAAGCACCGAAATGTATGCGCGTATATGAATGAATAGCAGTATGTGCTGTCCTGCATTTAATAAAGGACATGCCTTTTTGGTGTTCAGCGGCGGACGTCGATTGTCCCGCCGGAGATAACGGCGGAAGGCGGCGATCGGGATGGTGGTGG